GCCTGGCTCTCAACGAAAACGCCGAAGGCGGTGCTGTATGTCCCTTGCTGGCGGGTGTATTCTCAAGATGGCGAAACGTAATGGAACCCCACAGACGACTTACCCGCACAATGTACAAACAAATCCGAAATTCTCCTTTTACGAGAATAAGTCAGATTATTGGTGGAGGTAATAGTACACCAGTGATGACATATTTATGAATGCAGACATCGATTTTTGCCAATAAACAACTGAAAATGTTACACAATGTCCCTTTAAAAATTTAAGTCACACAATAATGCTAACTAACTAAATGGTCGCGACAACGGTACACCAGCAGCTCCCATGTTTAGCAAGGTAAGATTACTGTTTTAGTCAACAGGGCTTAGATTTGTAGGGAGCATAGATAAGTTTCACTTACTTCACAGTTCGGTTTCCATCAGAAAGGGCTGTCTGTTTGGGAAGTACTGAGCATACGACTGAATCAATGACAATGAGGCTTGGATTACACTGTACAAGGACTCGTGGCTTCAGTTCATGAACAATTTTCTCTGTTTTTGGATTCTTCATTCACTGTGGAGGCATGCAAGAAAAATTTTTCCTTAAAAAATTCAGCTAACAAAGGAAGTGTAATTGATACGCTCTTTTGAGGGGGTGACGTATTCCTTTAAAACTGCTTGTTTGACAAAATCTTGTTATGTATGCCTTCTTTTTTTATCCAATGTAATTTTTAATTGTTCACTAGAATTATGTTCTTGTTTGGTTTGAGTGAGTTTAAGTAAAATATTAACTCTCTTATTAAGTCCCAGCACCAAATTTTATGGCTGTATTTGTGTTCAATTCTGACTCCATACTTCTATAAGAGCTTGAAAGACAAGACTGTCAAACACTAATGAGGCCTTGTCAAAATTATTATTTTTGATTGTGGTCTGACCAAAAAAAAAGCAATGAATGTCATGCTGAATGCTGTTGTGTAAAAAAGTAAAAGGGGTGTGTTGTGTGTGCTCCACATATGAAACAAGACTTAACTAATAACCCCGATCTATTATCCAAAATTTAACCATCATCTTGGAGTGATTTTTCTTTGTTCTCATAACCACAATCAGAGATGCTAAATAACCATCTTTAATCTTTGCTCACAGGCAATCTGGCTAATTATCATAGTCTCAGCAGCAGGTAACCTTGGTTTTCCCCGAGCCTGGGGCTGATTAGCACAAAAGTGCAGCTGCAGGGCCACGCTGCTGTCTCGATGTGTGAAATTATTTTTAGACAGCAGATCATAACCTCTTTTAATTTTTTAGTGTTGATTGGTAACAGTATAATGACGAAGTTTCGCACAGCACTCTGCCTCAGAAACTGTTAAACAAACAGGAAGCAAACAACCTAACAACAAGTGCTGCAGGGGAAGGCTACCGTCTCAGCACACACACACACACACACTCACACACACACTCACACACTCATACATCACTACTCACCTTCCCACCTCCATCTTATTCATATAACAATAGCCATTTGTTTTACGGGTAATTGTTGCAGGAAGGGAAGCTACTAGAAAATCTTGCTCCAGTAGCAGTGTTGTTTCTTGATTTGGAAGTTTCAGAACTGTTCTTATTGTTGAAAACTACTCAAGCAGGATAGCAAAGCACAAACAAAAAACAATTCATTCTCTCAATCAAGTAAAAATGTCAAACATTTGTTGCTTTTCCCCATCTTGTATTACTGTAAACTTAATATCTTTGGGTTTTGGACTGCTGGTCTGACAAAACAAGACATCTATAGATGTAGCTGTAGATGTTTGGCTCCAGGAAATAGTGATGGACAATTGATTAACCCTAAGAGACCCATGGGACTGCTAGTGATCTCAGCTGACATTACTGTCTTTCAGAGCCTGTAGCCGCCTGAGTTTTGAAGCTAGAGTAAAGATACTGAATAACACTCCAGAGTTAGGCCAAATTTTGTCAAAGGAAAAACTGGCATGTCCATATTCACAGAGCTCCATTGACCTCTCACCTCAAGATATATGAATGAAAATGGGTTTTCTGGGTACCCACGAATCTCCCCTTTACAGACATGCACACTTTATGCTAATGCCATGCACTTGGGGGCTAAAACCATGCATTTTTTTGCATGCAGTCCAAATATGTTATTTTTGCCTATTGTATCTGAATATTTCGGCATACTGGGGTCCCTTAACAGTCTTGGAATTGCATAAATTGGATATGACTGGAAAGATGAGACTGTATGTGTAATGATATTAACCCCCAGATCAGCCATTTCAATGTAGTGAGATAATTTTTTGAAACTGACCGCACTGTATAAATGACCTATTGTGACCTCAAGGATAATCACAGCCTTATTAAACTTTACAGCCACAAACTAGAGACCTCAGGCATTCAGAGGATGGATGGCTTTGATAGGCTGAATGGAATTAAGGGGTTTCTCAGCAGTTTCCGAAACAGAAGTGCTCGCCAACCAGTCACCGAAAAAATGACAGTTCTTACAAAAATGTTAACAGTTCTGGATACTAAATCACAGCATGAATTTTTCTGTGGTGTTCCTCAGGGTCTTGGTTCTTTAATGTGGCATCTTGCAGGGATTTTGACCATTTTATCAATTCTAATGTGGTGCTTGAATGCTTAAATTTACCACTAAATCTGTGTAATGAATGGTACCAACCCAAGAATTGCTGCAACAACTTATGTGACACAGTTGAGCATGCGAATAACCATCATACGCATCCATCATAATGTCGCTCTAAACTATTAAAGTTTGAAGAGGCACCATACCAAAACACGATGTTTGTTACATATTTATGTCTAGAAAATCTTTACATACAGTGCTGAGCTGCATCTCAAATTAATCCTCAGATTCTGTGCTTTCAGGTGATGTATACCACGTCTATGTGTGGCATATACTATTAACCTGCTATCTCCACCTATACATCCCCCAACCCCTTTAAAAAAACACAAAAAATGGTTCTGTGGTGGGTCTCAGAGAGTTAAATCCCAAGTAATCAAAACAATTTATTGGGAAATAAATTAAAATTGCAATTAGATTGGAATTAGGACACAGCTATTGACTTGGTTATCTCTGGGGTAAGGTGGTACAGTGTTTATGTGTCACCATGAGAACTGGAACCTATAAAAACGATACTTCTAATGGTTAACTCATTCTCACTTTGTTGGTGTTTCCTGTATTTATGTGCAAACGTGTGGGTCCATGCTCAGTGTTCACATTTGTGATGCATCTGTGCCTTCGTGTCAGCGCCTGTCCCCGCTGCAGTTGTATTAATGATGTTGAGAAATATCCATGCTGCTCCTGTGACAACAGCACCGCTATCGTGTCCTGTATATGCGAGGTGTCCTGCCGGGCCAGCTGCATGACTGATGGTGGTCCCATTGATTGCTCTCAGTCTTCAGGGCTTCCAGCCAAGATTGGGCCCCTGGCCAAGAGCAGCTTGGCCCAGCTAATCTGTCACCAGGCTGGCCAGAGCAGACTTCATAAGCTCCATCGACCCACGAAGCTTACACGCTGTGTGCTAAAGCCTGTCCTCCCTAGCCCCACTGTCCATTAGTCTTGGTGCTTTAATCTTCCTCTATCTGTGTGTCTGTGTGTCAGCTAGTCAGGGATTGATTCATTATGAGTGTCCAAGGATTTGAGTTTACTTTGTTCACAGTCAAGGGTCACACTCTGCTATCTGAATGCTTGTTTAAGCAGTGATTCATTAGTCTTCATTTTCATATCATCCTTAACCCTTTTTGCTGCATTGAAATACAGAAAAATAGGGCTTGATTTTATCCTAAATGCATATGGTATTTCAAGATGTGTTGTTTTAATATGTTCTTTTATTGTACCTCTCTATGTGCAGTACGGTGTCCGAGGATGGGCCAGAGATCTTCTTAAGTCCTGCAGTCACGTATGGCCCACCGGGCCTTGACCTGTCCTGTCCCATAGCCATGACAATAGCCCATTGTGCAGAGGTCGCTGCTGATAATTGGACCATCCGCTTAAAGAGACAAATGCAGGACAACAAGTGGGAGGTAAGCAATTTCTATTAAACATCAGCAGCGGTTATCAGGTCCAGATTCTCTGCTGCAACATCAGTGCAGAATGTTAACAAGTGCAAACACACAACTTTCACCAGCGACTGGAATATCAAAAAGATCTGATAAAACTGCTACCACTTACTTTGATGAAAATTTTCATCGTGCAGTGTAGTCATGCAAGCACAGAGCTGATTTCAGGGTTGCCAGCTCAGATTCGTCATTCTGTATAAAATTCAGCCTTTCAAGCTCTACCTCATGCTGTCATACATCCAAAAGAAATGTCAGACCAAATGACTGATATTAGTCATTGAAGCATTCATTTCTTTTCCCAGTTTAATGGTAATGGTATTTCAAAGCATTACTCCTTCATGAATCTGTGATTTCTGCCTTGCAGCTGTTCATAAAAATTACACAACAAGCACAATTTATATTAGGAGGAGAAAAAACCCAATTGTGTTTGTACATACTGCACACCCTGTATGCCTGTTTGTCTTTTGTTGTTTATCATATGGCAAAACCGTACAAGGAGATATGTATCATCTTAATTATATTTAAAAATGTTGTTATACTGGGATCACTATGACTGATTTAAGCTTTGATTCATGTGAACAGTAGAAAAAAAACATCCACCAAAAAGATTCAGCTACTATAGCATTATTATTTTCATCTTAATCAAATGGTGTCAAATGCTAACAAATCACTACTTCGTTGCAACAGTGAGTAAGTGAGTGAGGGAGTGAGTAAGGGTGAGAGGGAGGGAGTAAGGGAGGTAGTGAGGGAGTTGCAGTTAGGAATAAAACACTGTGACATACAGTAAAATGACCAAGTTCTATTTGCACCCGGCCCCCAGGAGTGAATTTGTGTTTCCTAAGGCTGACTCGACGCCGTACTTACGCCATAGGCTCTACATCAACATAGAGACTACCCTATACCCAAAAATAGCATTTTATGTCTTGTGTGTGATTTATCCTTTGGGGATATATACTTAAGCAATATCACACGAGAGGGAGTAATGTACTGTATATCCTCATGGCTGTGATTCGGTCATAGGCATGAGGCCGCAGGACCTCTAGTTAGATATTGCTTTTATACAACAGTTCAACAACAGCTTAAACAGCAATGCTGAGTAAGGAAATGTTAACAAAAGGTGATGAAATAAATTATTTAAGTATGTTATTTAGCTCCGCAAAAAAAAAACAGTTCCCCCAGTCTGTTGCCAGACAACGGAGCACGCACGCCAGGAACTCACAAGCTACTTTGTATTTACATTGATCTGCAACTGTGTAACTTCGTCCAGTTCGGCTTACGAAACGTTGGCAAACCTGGATGTTGGCACGGCCGGATTCAGCTTCCTCGTCTTCTCCTGACAACCACTCATAATTTAATTCAAATGTAATTTTGGGGAAAATATCCATCTTCTTGGTGTAACGCTACTGTCAGTTTGCGTCAATGTAGCGAGTGTGACAGTTGGTTAATTAACGGTTGCATATATATTTCTAACACCTGTGAGCGGAGTGATTTTACTGTTACATGTCCCAGTGATGTTACTCTATATCAGCACTCATGGAATGCCTCTCGTCCAATCAAATTACTCAGTCGGAACTAACCGTTGTATAATTTGGGATTTCTCCTGGCTTCATATTAGCAGAGGAAATCTCCACTCGTCACTAGGCTGACTTATACAATGTAAAATGCCCTAGGCTTGTGCTAATAATGTTAGCATCTTATATTTGTTTGACAAAAGTGTTAAGTATAAGACAGTTGTTTTGTCTGTGAACCTTGTGAGTTGCAATGGAGCCAAATTTTCTAATGTTACCTTTGTTAAATGTTGCTGTTTTCCATTGCTTCATATGAGCAGAGAGAAGTCAGCTAGCCGCTAGGCTAATTTATACAATGAAAAATGCCTTAGGCTTGTACTAAAAACATTAACATGTTGTATTTGTGGGGAAAATGTGTCCAGATAAAGACAAGTGTTTGTCTGTGAATGCTGCGAGTTATAGTGAAGCGGGTTTGTGTACTTGTGTTTGAAATTGTCTCTATTAAACCATGTTTAATGTGTGTTTTGAATCAACTAAACTTTACAGCACATCACAGAAACCTCAGCCGCCGACTTGTGTTTTGGAAGTGTAACTGCAGAGTGACACAGACACACCACCGCACAAGTATAAATGCTCACAACAGCGTATTCTACGTGCGTAGGCTACGGCATAGGGTCTGCCACGAGTATAAATCCCCTTTAAGATAGCGAGGGCATGACCCGCCCTACTCCGATTTACTCTGCCGCTGATTGTCTTACCCTGACATTCTTACCCTAACCCTAACCAATCTCACTCCTCTAACCTAAACCGAAGCAACCCAACCAACAAAGGCAAAGAATACTAGCCATTCAGCAAATTCACCCCCCAGGATGTGCGCTGGACTTTGAAGCCAATTAGAAAAGAGATGTCTGTAAATCAATGGGTAAACTTTACTGAGAGTCCAACCCCTTGCAAAATTACTTGTTTTGCTATTAGAATTTGATCCATTTGGTCAGGTAACACTTCTGAAAGTCTAGTAGAGCTGCACGAATAAATCATTTCATCCTCATTCAAGTTCGCAGAGGGTTAGCCACTCGATCAGCGAAAGTCTCTTGTGAACTTGCTCTATAAACCCATTATGCGGAAGATGCAGGTAATTTTAAACCTGGGAAGTCTAATTTTTTTAGCCTCATGCGCCACTGAGCAACTTTCATAGGAAAGAATGGGTCCCGCCTCCAACATTGTATTCAGTTCTCTTTATACATCCATGATTCTCAGGGGACTGGTACTAATTAGGGACCTTTGGTAATTTATAATAATTGCTGGAATCGTCTGTGATCTTAATCCCATGTGAATCTGCCATGTCCATAATTTGCCAAGTAAAAATTCAACTGCAAATTACGTACCATGTCTCACCAAACACAGAGGTCATGTGATAATATTAGTCAGTAATTTGAGATCATATTTAGGTGTTTTGTTTTCTCCGTGCCTCTTCTCTGTCTGTCTCTCTTTCTCAGGCAAGAATTGTGGAGGCTGCATTGGTAATTATAAGAAAAAAGTTTTACAGCATTTTGGGTGCAGGTGGCTCATCTTGCCACACAGCATGGAGACCTTTCACAGAAAAAACAAGTTTAAATCAGTCAGAGGAGTAAAATCTCAAAAGATAATAACATGTGACGCTGTGTGGCAAAATCAATTCTGTTTGTTTGATCCACATTTTTAAAAAAAGAAAAAAAGATTTGAACACTATACATAAATGTAGTGGTGCTGTGTAGTGTGTCTGTTACAAATGACTGTGCTCATCGTTTCCAGGGGATAATGTCAGTAAATTTGAGTAAAAAACAGGCTTTACATATCCCCCGCCAATGCACCCAGTGAAACACTGACGTTGGGGGATAATTTCTAAATCACATGAGGTCCCATGCAAATAGGGCTTAAAATAGAGAAACAGTGGTAATTTATCCACAAGAGCTATTCATAAAAAGGTTCAGCAGAAGAATGTTGTAGTTCAAATGATGTCCCTGAACTAGCTATTTCGCTGTGTTGAAAATGAAATATGCAGACATATAGTCAGATTTTTTTTAAACTGCTAAAATGTTTATGTATGTAGTCCAATATGATACCACAGTGCGAGGTCAAAACGGATAAAGTGTGCTTTTTAAAATATTTAAGAATCCAGTATATTGCTATCTCTGTGATAGCTGCTGTGAGATTTCTTTTCTCACATCAAGCGCTTTCAGTAAAATAACACCTCTGAAAAGTCCTTCAACTCTGTCCTGTAGAGCTACTTCACAGTCTCCCAGAGACTTGTTCAGACATCAGACTTCAATCCAAACACCCTCTATCCATATCTAAGATGCTCTTTTAATGTTTAACTAACCTCAACAAAAAGCTATGGGGACCTCATCGAGGCAAAGTGACCCCAGTTTGCGTGACCTTGGAGGGCCTGTGGCTCTCTCCGCAGCCTGGTCTTTTCACTTCGTGTGACATTTACACAGACGTAATTTGCCAGTGGACGTGTTGCACAAAAGGGAGCTATCAAAAGACCCATCACCGATGGTAGCTATATGCCATCGGAAAGCAGAGAACAGTAGAGAGAGTCGGCTGAGAAGGAAGAGACAGACAGAGAGACGCAGACGGGTTCAGAGAAAGAGGGGGAGATGTTCTCCAAGAAAATGTAACGGCGTGACCCATCTCTGTCACTGTGAAATAATGAGCCCTTTATCTCAGGAAGGATGCTTACTCAAAACCTAATCTCTGGAATTAGTAATATAATGGGAGATTAAGGTCTTTCTTCCCCTCCGTCTTTCTCTCCTTCCTTCTCCCTCGCTCTGTCTGCCTCTCAGTGCCATTCCCATTAAAGCTTGCACTTTTGTACTGCTAGAGTTTGACTCCATCATTTCTCCCCGGCTGCCTGGCGGGGATGAGCTATGTCATGGAGATCCTTCATGTCTGCTGCAGCGCTAATGGGGCAGGTTTAGGAAGCTGTGGGCCACTAAATTACCCTGCATTGCTTAATATGGCTCAGCCAGGCCATATGCAGAGGGGACCTGTGGGTCACAGTTATGTTTCAAAGGTGATTTAGGGAGGATTGAGCACGAGATGAGGAGCAATTGGCCATCGGATATACAACTGCACCCCGCTAATCCGTTTTGTCAGTGTTACTGTATCCCCATCTGTTTAGTTGATGCGTCATTATTCATTTGGCCCTCGTTCAGCTTTGCACAGTTCCTGATCCTGAGTCTGTATGAGGGAAAGTTTCCAATTTACTGTCTGTGAAGTGCTGAAGTACCTTAATAATATTCTTAAATAATACAGTCACCTCTTGGATTTGAAATGCTGAAGTCATGCCTCTCATGGACTGTTAAGTGACTGTTATTTTTCCCTTTTGTGTATTTTTCTACAGTTAATAAGCTAATAAATGGAATAATAGATCCTGCTAAATGAATCATATTAGCAATGAACAGTGTAGCTCCCATAAAACAGGTTGAATGGTCTTCAGCTTTCAGTTTGATGGTTATATTAAATCCTCTTTCTACCTCTGCAAACAAATGCTTGGCAGTAATTGAAATGTTAATAATCATAAATCTGTATGCTCAGCTCCACTGCGTGTAGGTCAGTGCTGAATCCTCAAAACCAAAAATCATCAATGAGACAGCTTTCCATTATTGAGCTGTTCCCATGCTTAACCCTAAAAAGAAGTGTTAATGGCTCAGGATGTGTGCTTAATGCATCGCAACTAAATCTGATGTTTCCTCCCTCTGAAGGAAGTGATGTCTGTGGACGAGGAGAGCACGTCCTGCTACTGTCTGCTGGACGCTCAGAGGTGCCACGTGCTGTTGGAGCATCCAGGCCGCTATGCCCTTGTGGGGGAGCCGCTGAACCACCAGGCGGCCAAGCGGCTGAGGCTGGCTGTGTTTGGCAGTCCAGATACCAGCAACTCTCTGGGCTTCACCCTCAGGGTCTACTGTGTGGACGACACACCCCATGCATTTCAGGTATGAGGGAAGAGAGAGGTAGCCTGGAAACCAGACATATCTGCACGCAAAATGCGTGAGAACATCATTTTTTGCTTGGGCACCCCCCTGCTGGGTACACAACAGCAACATAAACCTAACTGTGGAAAGAGGACGCTGTTAAGGTGTTTTTGCAAACATCAAAGATGGCTGCAGATGATGTGGAACTTTCTGTTAAAGCACTATTTTCAAACTGTGATGGCAACACTCTTTCACAGACATATTGACACTACACCATTACAGCTCATCTCTGCGCGCTGTTGTCTGTTTACATTTGTCCATCGCTCAGCGCTGCGTCACCTGTGTCATTGCTCTGATTGGTTTTAGATCTATCCAATTGCATTTTGGCCTATGGCTGTTGATGACCCCTCTTGAAAATCAAAAATGAACTGAGAGGGTTCAGACAAACTTGCATTTGCACTTATGTCTGGTGTTGTCAGGCGAAGAGGGAAGAAGTAGAAGGAAACAATGAAGAGCCACTGATGAGTCCGTGTAATGAGAAAGTATATTTCTTACTTATAATTGAGTAGTTTGTCTTGTCAAAATTTACAAAACATTAATTTCCTTTTACTTCAGGCTACAGAGGTAATAGGTCATAACACACACTGTTGTATACAATAGAAGGAAAGCACAATTTTTTTTTTTTTTTATGAGGGAAGTAAAGAAAATTGATACTTAGTACGCCCTGCCTCTGTAAGGCTATACTTAGACACAGTGGTGCTCTTAACTAAATGCTACTGCATGCGTACATGCTCACAATGGCAAGTCTGTCATTACATTCACTTATGTCAACATTGTAGCACCACTGGTGTTAGCGCGCAAACGTTTGCCAGTTAGCAATAAAAACAAAGTACAACTGAGGCTGATGGGACTGGCATTAGTTTTGTGGTCAAAAACCAAAGTGTCAGACAAAGTGAAATTGAACATAATGTGACGATGGAGCTCAATTAACAGTTAAGGGATCATTTATATTGTTATCATTTCTCCATAGCAGAACATTAGTGTTTAACTAGATTTCATGGCATTCCATCCAATGCAACGATTCCTTCAATTTCCCTCAAAACCAGAAATGTCAACCTCATGATGCCAGAGGATTATCAGTGCCATTTGGATGCATCATCTGGTCATCATGAGCGTATGGCCAGAATTTTATAGCAGGCTTTTAAGGGTTGGTGAGGAAAAGCTGTCACCCTATAGGTCACCTGCAAGCAGATCAGCCAAATTACTTTGCAATAATAACCAGGTTTCCACCAGTCAGTTCAATTCAATTTTATTTATAAAGCCCAACAATATCACTAATCATCATCATTTGCCTGAGAGAGCTTTACAGCATACAAAATCTCTCTGTCCTTTGGACCCTCACTGCAGATAAGGAAAAACAAGAAACTGAGGAGGGATCCCTCTTACTTAGGGATCTAAATAGTACTACTAAATAGTTTGGGGATTCAGTTACTCTTTAATAGTTCTTGAGATACTTCAGTTTGGAGCAAAGCAATGGACAGAATATTCATGTCCAGTATTCTAATATGATATAACTAGAATGACACTAGTCCAGTCTGCAAGCACAACCACTATATATGCCTGCATACATCTCAAAAAATAATAGAGTGATGTCAAGCAAGTGCTCCATAACAACTGCTTTCTGTATAAAGTGTGAGCAGCTACAAGTGTAGGCTACCCAGGAGGATCACTGGTACCTGTGAGTGTGGATTGTGATAATGAGTCATATTTCTTTATTTGGCTATGTTTTGTCACTGCTGAACTTTGTCACCTTTAAAATTATATTGCAAGTTTCACGAAAAGCAGGCCATTAGTTTCCAGTAATCCTGCTTACAAACGAATTGAACTGAAAACAAAACCTCCTCTGTGGAAGTAAGTATATACGAAATTTAAATTGCAGGGGTTTGGTGGTTGTGGCTGATGGTTTTGCCTGGGAGAATTGCTGTCTGGGTTTCTTTGTGCTCCACTGAAGATCTGCCTGTTCAGTAACATTGCCACTGGGAGATGCTTGATGACTAGGAGACAAAGAGGGACTTTTAATTACAAAGACAACAGATGCTCCAAGGTTGCTTCTCTGCCCTTAATTTGCGTAATTTAATTTGCTCTCTGTTAATTAAATGTGTTTCAGCATTGCATTCCATGTGACAAGTATTTGAACACGTTAAAATGAGACACATTCTCAGATGCTGCACCAGTTCGTCACACTGCGCTCCTGAATGGTGCTTTGTGGAAAGTTTGCCCTCCTGCTCACAGTGTGGGCACTGAAAACACAAACACATTTAGTTCTGTTGAAGTGTTCTGAAGCCAAAATATACTTTTCTTGAGAGTAATTTGTCTCCTATCTTAATAAACACACAGCAACTTTTCTGAACAGTGCTGATAGTTATCCTGTGTTGCCGCCAGCCTTACTTCACTTTCAGCTTCATTCAAGAGGTAGAACTGCATGTGAACTGAGAGAAATTGGATGTAGGCACCAAGAGCCGGTTCGCCCCACCTCTCCATCAGTCAGACATGGTTATTTGTTCATTTGTTCTTTTTTTTTGTTGTTGTTGTTGGCTTTTGTTTGTGCTTCATACGACAATTAATTTCCCCTGTGAGCTTGAAGCAGGAATTGATCAGGTTCAAGACAAGCCCTTCTCCCCCTCTCTGTGCCGTGTGACTGAGAGAAACAACACCATACATACCAGACTCACCCCTCCCAATCCCGAGACACAGATAATGTAAACACAAGCATGCAAGTACATACCAACACATGCACACAGATGTTATTGTTCTCTATAGATTAAGAAAAATCACAGTACCTCAAGACGGGAAGGAAAGAAAACATAATATTGACAAAAGACTTTTGTTGAGATTTTTTCTCTGTTTATGTCTTGTCTTTGTGAACAACCAACATGTTTGACTAACAACTTTATCTCTCTGTTTGGCTCTAGCCATGTCGGTTTGTGACCCATGCTGTGTGTCGGTTTCATCCAGTTTGTGTTGTGAGAAACAGTGGCTCATGGGGGCTGCTCCTGAGCTCAATGGGATATTTCACCCCAAATCACAAAATATGTATTTTCCCTCTAACCTGCAGTTCTATTTAGCAATTAAGATTGCTTTGGTGTGAGTTGACGAGATGTCTGCCTTCTCTCCAATGCCGTGGAACTATGGCAAAAGGCTTGTGGTGCTTAAAGCGCCAAAAAAAATACATTTAAAAAACTCAACAGTAATGTCTCTCTCCAGAAATCATGACTTGTTTACTCAAGATAATCCACAGACCTTGTTGTGAGCAGTTTCATGAAAGAACTATTTTCTTTCAACCAAACTAAACTAAACCCGCTAATCATATCACCGTGCAGAAAGAAGTGTACATATACTGCTAGCCAGTCCCTCCTGGTTTGGGCAGGCTGTGTTTGTGATTGTTGCAGCCTAAAATGTTTGATTTCATGGCAGTATGTCTTTAAAAATTATGATGCATGTTGCAGTGTTTATTTTTTTTTTTTTTCCAAAAAAATTTGCAGGGGGAAGTGAAAATCGCAAATCCTTTTGTGATGCCTCAGATTCGGAAAGCATTATTACAGCATTACAAATAATTCTGTGGGAAACACTGAATGCTCATGCATTCAGTGTTTCCCACAGAATTATTTGTGAGGGTTGGGGGGGGGGCAGCAACAGCTGATCACAGCCTACCTGTGAGAGGCTCTCCTGCTGCTCTCCCTGCCTGAAAAGCACAAGCTAACACAGCACAATGTGATCTTATCACTACCTGTCATATTTTGCCACTTGGGCAGAAGCCCCACATCCGACACTGAGCTGTTAATCTACACAGACACTGAAATGGCTAGACGCTGTCATTAAACCTGTAAATAACCGCTGGGCAACGTTAGCCAAGTGATGCTAACAGTTAGCCCTGTCACTGTTTGTGTGTGATTCAGAGTTCTGATCCCACAGCAGTAGTCTCATGATAAACGGAGAGAGAGAGGGAGAGAGAGGCTGAGCAAATCAATACACTGCGCACAGCTCTACAGTGAAATGAGATTTTACCTATTTTGATAACTCAAATCGAGTACAAGGTGTAGTTTAGTAGAAAGAAATTACTATATTAGTAATAGTATAATAGCTAGAGTTTTTCAAATGTATTTTTAGCACCTTGAGCACCACAAGCTGAGAGCCATCTAGCTCCATTTGAGAGACAGCAGACATCTCTCACACCAGCTTACACCAAATCAATCTGGACTGATAAGCAACATTACAGATAAGAGTTAAAATATGCATTATTGATTTGGGGGTGAACTGTCCCTTTAACCATCAGAGGCCAATTAGTCTATTTTTAGCTGAATGTATTTTTCTGATTTAATGGTCACAACATTACTCCTAATGTGGAGCACCAACAAATTAAAGTCTTCCAGTGCACACACAACCTAAAACCCAATAAAAAGCCATTACTTAAACCTGTGTATTTGTTTTAGCTTTGTTGTCTTACTTTGGGCATTAATTTGTGTTGTGTGGGTTTTTCCCATTTTGTTTTTTGGAATTTTGTTTCATGAACAGCCAGGTAATGAAGGCTGCATCTAACAATAATTTTCATCATCAATCAGTCTGCTTTTTCCTTTTCTAAATTAATCAGTTAAGTCATTTGCTCAGTGCGTCATTGTGTGTGTGTGTGTGTGTGTGTGTGTGAGTGGGTGAATAAGAGGCACAACATTACAAAGTTCTTTGTGCGTCAAGATAGAAAAGTGCTATTAATTAATTATTATGTACTTAATAATGACCCATCACAGTTTCCTAAGGTGACCTCTCAGCATGCTTGTTTTATCCAACCAACAGTCAGTTTACTGACACAAAAGATGTAGAATGCTCAAATTAATGGGTGAAGCTTGGCTTGTTCTAAAAAAGTACTTGACAGTTGTTTTGATTGATCAATTGTTTGAGCTCTTTTCAATTTGTCTTTTTTTTTTTTTTTTTCAACTCTTCACCAGAGATAAACCAGGCTGAGATTTGTCTGTGCGTGTTTCCTGTGTGAGGACATAAATAAATATCAACAGAAACCTTTTGTTGTACCTGAAAAGCTGTGTGCTGTACCCGATGCCTGGCTTGCTACACCGAGTCTGTCAACCATATAAAATATCTACCTTTTCTTCTCCACTTCCCTAACCCCTGGCCCACCCCCTGAAAAAAACAACCCATACCTTTCCTTATCAGGAGGTGGCAGTGGGCGAGCGCAGCAGGGGCGGGCGGCTGCTGGAGGAGCCTAAAATGATGCTGTTCCGGAGCAACACTTTCAGCCTCCAGGTGTCCATCCAGGACGTCCCACAGTTACTCTGGAGCATCAAGCCTTTCACCACCTGCCAGGTAGGCAGTTTACAACTGTGACTTGGTGTCATTTAGCACAAAAGAATTCAAGCAGCCAGCAAGTTTACTGTATGTGCATCTCACTTACTCACTAATGTATACCGAGCTCCGCTTTCTCAGGGTCACAGAGGGACGCTGTGCACCTTCATCTTCTCAGCATCCTCTGTTCCTCTATTAGAACTCTCTCCTCTACCAGTTTTCTCACTTGGTCACATCAAAGCCAAAGGACAGCAGCAAGGGCACAGCAGGAGATCACTAAAGCGAGCTATCTCACCCACACACACACCCTTACAAAATTAATTATGACCGCCAGGCAGGCACACACACAATACACACACACACACATACACACTCACACATCTCCCAGTTATCTTCCTGGGGGTCTACATGCTGCATGTTCTGCTCTGCCCTGTGATGTTTATCCCACCAGTGACATCCTATTAGTAGAATTAGCCCACCATAGTACATCCAGAATACCAACAAGGTATTCTTGGAGAGGGGAGAGCTGCTGTGTGAGGGTCCTACGGGGAAGATGACTGTAGACTTTCATTCAGAACACCACTCTTGTCTAAAGGAGGTTTTTACAAGTAGCCATCCTCCTGTCTGATGGATGTGAAGAGAGGATGATTCATCCGTAAAACAGTGTTTTTGACCTGTTCTCACTGCGCCACTGTCTGGGTCACACAGTAGTTAGTAATGGAAGTCGAAATTGGCCTTTTAGATCCCATTTACTCCGAAGCTCTGTTACTTTTGGTTTTTCAGCTGCCACTTTTCTGGGGAAATGCAGTGCAAACTGGGTAAATTAAGGCATCTCTGTCCTAATTCCATGATGACATTACAGTTCCTGATCTAACAGATTGGCATTTGCAAGCATATTCAAGGCATATAATCAGAATTAGGAAAAGAAAACATAACAAGCCAACTAAGTGCAAAAAAAAAAGGCCTGGAAAGTCTGAATTTAACGATGTGGCCTGTGCGTTTAGTAAAAAAAAATCTCCAGAGGATGATTTTATGTCATTACATAGACTATTTCTGCTAATGATGTGGGCTCGGGTCTGTAATATTTATTGACCCAGTGATTGCATGTAAGACTAGCCGCACTGTTGGTTATATGCAAAAGTTGAACAAAGTACGGTAACTTAATTATTTCTCCCAGGCAACAGTAAGAAACACAATGTATAATTTATTACATTTTACTGCACTAATGACTTCAGCTCCCTCAGATGCTAACGGGATACATTTTCATCCCTCGGGCTCTAAATGCCTGTTGGTGCTCTGTCTAACGGGTAAACCGCTTGATTAGGTAACATCATTGATTGTCTAAAGAGGCCACTCATTGAGTCCTAATTAATCATGTAAACAGCAAAGTGGGTGACAAAGCAGGACTCAAATAACTAACATCTTTGACTTAATGAGTTTGTTGTCCCCTCTGCCTAATCCTTTCCTCCCTGACCGCTGTCCGTCTGTCCCCACTCCACAGGAGTTCTCCTTTTCTCAGGTGTGGGCCAGTAACCAGCGTCCCCTGCAGTGTGCCTTCTCTTTGGAGCGATACAGCCACTCCTCCTCTCAGCTCTCCTGCAAGATCGGCATCCGACAGGTCAAAGGCGAGGAGCAGATACTCCAGGTGTATACATCTGTGGTGGAGGTGAGTGGCACTCGTGGAAACGGTGTCCTCGGCGCGCCGGGCAGTCAAGCGGCTTGTTAATAGGTTCTTTTATTACACTGAATAACTCTTGATTTGATTTAAGGCCTTGTTTAATGAGCCTCTCAGGGAGCTTTTCATGTATAGATTGCAAATTGTCTTGATAAGTCTTTGTCCTTGCCTTCATATTGAGAATTCCAGCTGCAGTATCAAAATCACCCTGACACCTCTTTCTTTTCTGATTTTTGCTTGCTGTTAGAATGAAAAGGGAGTAGTTCCCTTTTTCACACAGTCAGACTGTACCATCACCTCTCAGACAGGGTCAAGGGCCTTTAAAATCCCCCTGTCCATCCGTCAGCGGATCAGCGCCACCTTTGACACAGCTAACGCCAAGGGGAAGGACTGGCAGCTCTTGGCTCAAAAGCTCCACATAGACAGGTACCAGATGTTAAAGCGCGCTAAACCTGCATTCAGTGTCTCATTCTTTAAAGTACGCAGTTGTCATTTACCTCTTGCTAAGTCATGCATGTCTTACACAAGCTTAGGTATATGCATCATATATATGAATAGCTTTGTTCAGGTGTTATTACGGATCGATGAAAGGAAAGCAGGAATGCTGCATGTTCAGGTCTCTCCTCTGTGTAAACGTTGTTTCCCACTTTGAATACTATTTTTAATCTGGAATTTAGGCACCGTGTCAGCCCTAATCTCCCATCACCAACCAGCCTTCAGTTACACGCCACACTGCTGATTTCATTATAGATCTAGAAACACATGCACACCGAGGGAGAGAGGGAGAGAGAAGGAGAGAGAGAGAGAATGAGAGGGAGAGGGGAGAGATGTAAGGGCCAACTTTAGCACAGTCAGAATAACTGGAGAGAAGATGCCGTGTTTTGCAGTAATAAGATGGAAGGTCTGAGACCGCTGACAGGCCAGCCTCTGGCAAGAATATGTGTTCATGTTGGCACTCTTCATTAGCAGCATCTCTGCATGTGCTCCATCCTTCAACCCCCTGCTAAACTTTCCAGAGGTTGTGCCAGGTCAGTATTTGCGTAGGCTGCGGAGGATTTTAGTTGCATGGAATGGGGTGATCTCTATTTGTGCTTCAGAAGACAAGTCAATAATCAAGAGCTTATAGCCATGAAGACTCTTAGATCTGTGCAGTCAGCTCCATCGTGCAAAAAAAGTAGCTACTGAAAGTGAGTATTCTGTCTTTCTTTCAGTTGGAGAAACATGAGAGGGAAACGTTAAGTAAGGAACTGTGACAGAAACTATGTGATTAAGGAATTTCACTTAAACCAAGTCTGAAAACAAACATCTGTGACCGAGGAATGGGGAAAGGATTTCAGAGCTTTTTCAACCCAGTCGAACACACCAAGAAGCATGTAATGGGAATGTGTCTACCTAGTTAAGCATATTTCTGTAATTGTTTCTCTGTATGTGTGGGAGCATCATCATACTGAGGGAAAGTGGGATTGAAAGGAGAAGAGGGTAGAAGGCAACAAAGGAAATCCCATTGTAATGAAACAGTGCACTCTGTTGGATAGGCATTATAACAACAGCATGGGGTGGAAATCAATATCAGTGAAATGTTGCTTGGAGCTTGTTTTTTATGCAGTAAACCATGTGCTCATAATTAAGTTTCACTGTACCCATACTTTTGTTGACCTCAGACAAATCAGTTTACTTTTGACTTTTACTGACTGACTAATGGTCAGATATCTGTGTGGCAAGACAAGAAGTAAAACATTTGAAAAAGAAACCAAAATGTGCCTGTTTTTGCCATTTACAGGCTCAGTGTCTGACAACATTATGGAACAGATCCCTATAGAGATAGACCTTTTTGTTAAAGAGCAACATCCTTTTTTTTTAAAGTTAGATTGCAGCCTGTTTCACCGCTGCTGGCCACAGGGGCCACACTCAGTACTGGACCAGTTTCAGAAATTGATGTTCCCATTAGTCATTGAGGCACAACAACTTGGGAAAATAGGGTCCAGGGTGAAACTTACCAAACTTACCCTTTAAAGGGGCACTCCACCAGTTTTGTGCATGGTGTTCGGCTTTCTCGACACGAGGGGAAGGTCACGACTCAGCCCTTGAAAACAGTAGTATGTTTTCTGTTGCTCTTCTGTTTGAAAAAATAAATAATCCTGATGATGTCATAGTGATGTCTTGAGGGTTGTCTGGGCTTTGGCTTGAGACTTGAAATTTTAAAACAGCAAGCTTACATGACAAGTTTCGTTTAGTGGAGTCTGGAAGAAGTGTTTCTTCAGCAGGCAGGAAATGTCTAATGAAAGATGCTATTGACTTGTATTAAGGGAAATGTAGGATCTAGTGTTTCTGGAGTTTCACACATACTAGGGACTAAAAGTCAGGACAGTTTGGCCTTGGCCGGTTTAATGTTGGACATTCGTTTTTTTAATCTGTCTCTCGTGATTGTATTGAAGTGCAATACTACCTTTTAAAATGTCTTTGCATTGGCCTTCTCAGCATAATTAGTGCAAAGCAATCACTTCATTGCTGAACTGCTATTAACTGGCACTCTCACTTGTTCTCAGCAATTACACCTCTCCATGTGATCCCCACTCTAATATAATATTCAATTTTCCTTGGCCTGTAGGAACCTGTGCTACTTTGCATGTCAGGAGAGCCCATCGTCAGTGATTCTGAGTCTGTGGGAGGCACAGCACCAGGACACAGGGGACCTGGACTCTCTGGCCAGTGCCCTCGAAGAAATCGGTAAGGTCCAGTCCCCCAGGACCGCCACTCTTGGCTGCAACAGAGAAGAACGGGACTCAGAATTCACTAAACTTGGGTAGGGCGGGTCTACAACAGATCAAAATAATGATGAACCTTTACTGCATGAACACTGATGATCAGGTGTACTAGCTAACCTATGATGAGGAGGATGAGGAGGCGCAAAGAGGACAGCAGGGAAGCTCAGTTTTGGACTGTTACTAAAGGAACACCTCTGCTAAACCAAATAGCACATACAGACAGACGGGAATCAAGGAACAACCAAGAGAGAGAGAGAGAGAGGAGGAAATGAATGGGGAAGTGTCTGTGTTACTGAGAGGCACTGACAGGACATTTTAGAAAGGGATGTAAGAATCCCACACCCATTTTTGATTGAGAAATGTCAACTCCTGACAGGTTTGATAACCTGTATTCAAGGATTATGGATATCTGTGTGAGGAGGACTCTCCGCGTAGGATGGAGTGCGTTTTAGACAGACTGCCAGTCAGGCTGGTGTTGTGACCTTCCCAGGATTGGATGTGCTGGCACTTGCCCTCAAACAGTCTTCTGGGCTGTCAAAATGTTTAGTGTAATGTCATTATGTTGTCATTCATTTTCCAAGATCTATTAATGCTCCTTTTTCTTTTCTGCAGCGTGTCTCTAATGTTAGTGCTGGAGTTAAAGGAGAAAACTGAGGGAATATTGGATATTAATTTTGTCAGAACTTTAGTCGGAGACACTGTTCAGCATTTAGAAGGATGTGATGTCCACCTGCTAAAAGATGTAAGGCTGTATTAGAGATAACTCTTTGGATCACATGGAAAATAATCATTTTTAAACATCCACATGTAAAACACTTTCAACCCTACTTGCAGAACACGTTGTCAAAGCAAAGGCTGCAGAAGAGGGTAAGTTACCCCACTGATGATTTTCTGCTTATTCTGAAGGAAAATAAATGTCTCTCTGTGTGATAAGTGATTTCATACCAGACAGATAGTGGGAACATTACATACTCTGCAAAGTGCTGGCATTGGTTAACTGGTGTGTTCTTTCAAGACCCTCGCTCTAGGACTTCTTTTTTTATTTTTTTGACTTTTGAATTTTAAATTTTGACTTTTGAAGTGTGGCTTGATTTGAGCTGCCCTTTTTTGGGTCATCTGGATCACTCTTGGATATCATTATTTGGAGACAAGTAGCCAACTCTCACTCCCACTCCTCTGTCTTCTCTTCCCCTGGCAGAGTTGCTCCACCTGCCCCTAAACATGATAAAGTGATTTCGTGTTGAACTCTGTGTTGGCTCTCTCTTTTCACCTACTTAATGAATTCAGTTCTTGAAAGGGCCTGACGGCACAACATACTGTACGGTGGAGGAATCAGCTTCTGTGAACCTTTAAAACTTATGTTCAGCAAAGAGATGAAACATTTAGATACAAAATCAAATGTTCAGAAAGAAATTTAAGAACGACCGAAGCACTCTGCTGCTATTTTACCATATTGATATTGCATTGTTTAGCTTTTTTAAACTACACCAAAAGCCAAGTCACAAGGTGGTCACCTGTGAAAGAGGCTTCTTGTCAGTTCAAAATCTTAGTATCTGATTAAATTAGTGGCCTTTTTTTTAAAAAAAACTGTTAAGTTAGTGAAATAAGCATTCGCCAAGAGTTAGATGAGAAGATGGATACCACTGTTTGTCTACAGTAGTTATGAAGCTACAGCCAGGAGTTAGCTCAGCTTGGCACTAGTGCTGGAAGCAGGGGGAAACAGCTAGTCAGGTGTTGGTTCTATTAAAGGAGCAGTGTGCAGGATTCTTAGGATTTAGCATCACCTCAGCGGTGGTGACTGCAAATTGCAACCAGCTGACACTTCTCCCATGTGCCAGGCATGAGCTCCCAGTTACGATTCCTTCAGTATTTATTATTCAGCAGGTATTTAATGGGAGCCAAATTATCTGGAGAGGTCTCCTCCTCTCCAAACAAACAGACCCGGTGATCTAAACCAACAAAAACATTAAATAAAGCAGGTTTATGTTAAAAATCAGTGTTCACATTGTTGGTTCACAGAAGAGCTGCTAATTACAATGGCCAATGCGAAAACATGAATCGCCCTAAGATAAAAACAACAGTTAGCAGTTTAACGTGGGTTAGGTGTAGTAGAGCTTTGATTCTCTGTGGCCCACTGGGTGTGGGCCAGGGCAGGCTGTAATTTCTGAAAAATTCACCCATTTTGATTTGGGTCAGGTTCTCTTCAATTTTCTGGTATGTGTTTGTTTGTTTGTTCTGCAGTTTTGTTGTTGTTTTGTTTTTTATTCTTAAAATGCAAACCTTACATTCTGTGTTATGTCAGGTATCACATATAGGCTGTGTCGTCATCAACCCATCCAGACCCCGCCTCTCGTTAATGAGGAGAAATGTTATTCAATCTTTAAGTTTACTTATGACAGTTTTTCGACTGTGCTGACCATTCAGTGAGAGACAAATGTCTGTTCCCACACTGAAGAGACTTTAGTTGACTTCAGCTTGTAATAAATGTTTTAATATTTAAAAATTAAACATTACAGGGAGATTTGTGGTTTTTAATCAGGCTTGGGCCCAAAAACTGCTGCCCTGGCTTGGGCTCGTGTCAGTTTTGACAGAAAATTCCCTGTAGGGTCAGACCCGATCACAGCTCTAATGCGTAGGACTGTTTCTTGGTTGGGTGCATTGACTTTCCCCTGTTTCCAGTCTTTATGCCAAGCTAAGCTAAGCAGACAGATTTGAAAGTGGTATCATCTTCTCTTCGAACTTTTTGCAAGGAAATGAATAAGATCATTTCCCAAAATGGCAAAGAATACCTTTAATTTGATAAGACTCCCAGTTTTATTTTCGAACTCCCAAAGAAGGATGCAGATTCAAGCGTGCTCATGCTAGCTCTACAGTGGAAAAGAAAATTCCTCTTGATTTATGTATTTATGGAAATATTCTGAGATATCTAACTACAGAGATATGTATGTCCTTCGATAGTCTGAGGTCCTGATAATCTGTTTTCACTGAACCGTGACTGCCAAATGATCAAACTGGAAATAATGCAAACATGTAGTCTATCTGCAAGCCATCTATATGGATCAGAGAACACCACATGTGCAGACAAACTTCTATGAGGAGGGACTGATTCTTCACTATCAGCTGAAAAGGTCACTGCATAAAAAGGCCAAAGCTTGGAATACATTTAAACCTGGAAGAAACCGACTCACATGGAGGCCACTTAAAGCACTGACTCAGGCAGCAGGATCTAATGCATGTAAGATACAGGAAACAACCCAGTGAAGTCCATTCTTTGTATTTAAAAATACACCAGTGATTTTAATTTTTTATGCATTAAAGCTTAATTTTCTGCTGATTGACTAATAGATGAATAACCTAATCATTACAGCTCTATTAGTAACCATATAAATGACAGTCCAACCTTCAGGGTCTCTACTTTACAGTGCAGTAGTTTTTAATTTGTTTCAGTCAGACAGACAATCCAAGATTATTGTTATCACTATCCTGACTGAAGACAAGCCTCACAGTAATCTAATATCTATAATCTTTAGTAGTAGTGGAGTCGGTTATTCTCATGCACTGTTCGTACGTATACCTACAAAAAGTAATGCACCAGAGTTTGTATATAACCCAAATAATCTTGAGCCAGTAACTCATAATGCCTAATGCGCTGTGGAGAGTAAAGCAGTAAACAATATAAGAGTGAAAATGTGTGTCGAAGGCAGGTTGGGGTGGTGGAATAGTCAAACCAACACAGGACTTTCCCCAGGAGACTGGTGTTTGTTTCCCATGTGAAACCAAGTAAACTTTGAGGTAATTTAAGGTGTGTTGTCACAGACCATGAGTCTTCTCCAAAACTTAACCTTCTTAACTTTATTTTCCTAAACCTAACTTTAATAACTTTGCTTTCCTATCCCTAACCCACGTAACTATACTTCCCTAAACCTAACTTAAGTAAGTTTACTTCTTTAAACCTAACCTCAGTAACTTTACTTTCCTACACCTAACCCATGGAGTTTTACTTCTGTGTAACTTTATATTAAGCATGTAACATGATGATGCCCAACCATGATTCTTTTCCTAAACCAAACCTAACCGTTCATGGGGCATTAATTCATAAGATGCCACATGAACCACTGTACAAGGATATGTTGACCAGAGTGCTTGGCCTCTGGGCTGTAAGAGCTATCTAGCATACTGTCAGCTGCTTAAAGCAACTTTTGATTGACTGAAATCCTGTTTTTAATTACTCTTATAAGCACTGAAATTATTTAGATTGGTTTGTCCTTATCTAATCAGATGAACTATAGAGTTTCATGAGCAGAATAATTGTTGAGATTTTCCAAGTATAAACCACATTAATATGGACCCTTTGTAATGTAAGTGAGCCTCCAGATTTAAAGGAAATTCCACATTTTGAAGTGATTTGTCAAAGTTACATGAAACTAATGACACTTATGCTGTGACCACACTCTTATCCTCAATAAAGGGTACCAGCATGTATCTTTGTTACTCCCATACTTAATACTACGTTGACTCTTTTATTGCAGTTGGATTATTCAAATACTTGTTTCTTCCTTCTGGGATCAACATCTTCTTTCCAGTAACATATGGTCATGGATTTTCTGCTAACTTCCAGCATGCTGACAACTGTGGATGAATGTCTCCCATAGTGCCACCTGGAAGAGCAATCTTACCTGTTCAAAGCTGGGACCTCCTGCAGAGCTGCAGCATTGGTTAATGGCGACAAACGTGCTCTTCTTGGAAAAAAGATTATTTCTATAGCCGCTCTCAAAAGAGGAAACAATCATTCGATTTGAGAGACCGTTTCCTGAGCTATTACCCACAACATGTCCCACTGATGTATCATCACTGTAAGAGCTGACTCCTCCAGAATCAGGAGTTGACCTTTCTGCTGAAGCACAGAAAATGTCCCACATCCTCCAGGAGGCCCTGTGTGATAAATCATTTATGGTAAACTCAGATTTTATCCACTTTTTTTCATCGTATTTACAGATGTATCACAGCTTGGGATGGGATCAGTCAGATCTCCTTGGATCAAAGGAAACAGGATGTGACACTCCATTCCAGCTGTGTAGAGAGACCTTTAGTGCAGGTACTAGAGTCACAAAAAAGCCAGCAGAAGCATAAAGAGAGGACAGTAGGGTACACAAAAAATGTATATATGTAGGCAGCAGTTCCTCCATCCTGTACATTTCAGGAAAATATCAAGACTCCACCAACAACTTAAAAAATACTGGAATTATTCCATTACACAGCCAGCTTGAAAAAGGAAATTTGTCCTGACAACCACCCTGTTCCAAAGCTGATGGTCTACTGAGCAACCAAGCTACTAGTTGTATTTAAAGAACTGGACCGTGAGACTTGATGGAAATGTTGTCCTGTAGAGAAGGGACACAGCCAAGGCGCACCACATTATTACATTAGGAGACCTTTTTACACATCATTACTTTAGTCATCTCTGCACGTCTGAGTGTTATCAGTGTAACACTTAACTCCCTAATTTTCAGTGATTTCCAGTCAGGGACGGAACCACACCTCGCTATGCAGATCTATAACAGGCGGTGACAACGTTCTGATTTATGCCACCTCGTAAAAATTTTATGGACGCTGCTGGAGTGAAGATTACTTTGGACTTTGTATCTGGAAATCTTTTTGGCAGAGGGCCTTAAAACTTCACTGGAATTGACTTTTTTGTCTCAAGGCTTGGACAACATGGTGTTATGCTGCCAAATCTCACTTAAGTTTTTTGTTCCCAGTGCATCGAATCAAAACCTCACACACCTACCTTGAGCTTTTTTTCAAACCCAGATTTTTTTCACCTACTTTGCTGTATCAAGCTCCCCCATCTGTCATATACAAACATGGACATAATAAAATACATGCAAAACTAAAAAGAAAACAGATAAGCTTTATATGTGTTGTGCACCGTAAAAAAATCACACAGTTTTCTAACTAATTGTGCCTCTCCATGTGGGTTCGGTGTCATCTGAGAGTCTGACCAGAATGTCTTTTTATTCTCACCATAACAAAGAAACTAGTATGTTAATATGCAAGCTGTATTGTTCATTGCCATGCACAATACCCACCTTGTATACACTGCAGAGGTGTTTCCTGAGAATGCTGAAGCATTTAAACCTGTTATCGCCGATGCCAGGAACTTACAGCGACGACAAGCTGACTAAAAACGATCTGACCATCTGTCACCTGAGGACGCTCAGTGTGTCCGTCAGTGTCCTTTACAT